TTTTCAAAAGCAGTTGTCTGGTCAAAGCACTTTAAACCTGAGTTCGATCTATCATGTGGCTGTCCTCGCAGAAGATTCAAAGATAATGCCTCAGCAATATCCCCATGCAAGGAGCCAGGCTGTCCGGAGCTAGAGGGAGGAAACCTGTTCTGAGTAAGCGCCAGCGGGGGAGGCCGGCTGCCTGTGCGCCCCACGCACCCTCCCCTACCGAAGGCTCCCACACCTGCAGGGGGTGGGAAGGGAAGGATGGATTCGGATGTCTGGAACCGAGCTGAGCCTAGAGAGGGGCCCTGGAAAATAACAGGAGCAGGGGAGAGCAGCAGGTCCTCTCCCTCCGGGTGGGGGAGTGTGCTTCCCGGCACCGAGGGAACTGAGCAGAAAGCAAATGTATATTTGATGACATTTCTCTGCGTGCAGCCTCTCTTCTGAAGAGCCAGGTTTGAAGGAAGCCTCGCATCAAAGCAGACAGGAAAAAGAAGGATAGGGAACCTACCAGAGAGACTAGGATGGCCCCTGGAAGTGCAGATAATGAGAGTCACTATGAGAGGCACCGGAGCCCTAGCCAATTTAACGCAATATCCACATGCCAGGCCTTTGGGAAAGGAGGCTCAGGGCCCAGCTATCAGCTGGCGAAACAATAAAAGGGAACTCGGTACTGAGAAGTCTCCTTCCGACCCATTACCATCCTAAACTCCTACTAACCTAACCAGATAGGAGAGTAAGGATGCGATCCTCCCCTGTTCCCTGTTCAGAGGAAACTGAATCGCCTCCACGTAATGATAAAAGCCAAGGAAAAGGAGATAACTGATGCATTACTCGGATGAGATGATCCATCTGGGCATCTGCCGTCGTGTGGAATGAGAGACGTAGCCTAGATTGATCACGGATATAGGCTCTTGTGAATGCAACCCATAAGCACAACTTTGTTCCTTTTAGGAACCCAACACACATGCTTGTATTTCTCTTTTGATTTATAACTACAAGTGCAAAATGTTTTTATCCTATCAAATTGTGCTCCTCTGTCAATACCACAGAAGGTACTAAAAGGGGGTCACTTAAGCGGCGGGCTTCAAAGGAGGCTGAGAGTAACTGAATTCACCCCTGTCATCCCGCCGGCCTTCCCCACTGAATGCCACTCTTGCCATTTGATCCGTCCGTCCCAGACACACAGACACTGCTGCAACAGGCAGAATGCCACACGATCTGTGAAGAGCCCCTTTCTGCCTCTCACACCAGTCCCTCCCCTCTCTGGCCCCTATACTCCAAAAGTGTTCTGTAGTTCAATAGTTCTCCTACCAGAAAGTCTTGTGTGCTGGAAACCGGAACTGCATGGGAGTCCAGAGAAGAGAACCGGGACTTAAAGGTCAGCCAGGGCCCATGTCCTCCTGTTCCGTTCACATTACCGGGTAGACAAAAGTCACAGAAAGATTCTCAGCATCTGTGGACTGCATCCTTCAGTTCCACTCCTTTCAGATGGAGGGAGCTAAGATTACTTCTGATCTACTAAAGAAAAAAAATATAGAAAATATAAGAGCCCCAGAACGTGAAACTGGCAGAAACACACACACACAGACACGCACACATACACACATACATTTTGTGGGGAAAAAAAAAAAGTCTAACTGTAAGATTGGACCCACTACAACTCCATTATCCAAACTTCTGTGGTGTGTCACATATTAGGAATTTCTACCAGACAGACCCCCGAAGGTGGAGCTGGAGGAAATTTTCAGATCTATCTGAGAACAAGTAAGTGGCAATGCACCAGGCAGAGCGAGTGCGTGCCTTGGTCAGGGTCTCACAGCCAAGCAAGGCTCAAGCACAGGGGAATGCGCTTCCTGCCCGGTAACGACCACTCAGGGGTTTCCTAGCCCAGGTGCTGCCCTAGTGCAGCAACCCCTCACTTCACCCTGCAGGAATCCAGAAATGGGGCTGTGGACGCCAATCTCCATCAGTACCCGAGGGAACTTCACCTTCAAGAGGACAAAAAGGCCCCTCGGAAGATCCTGCATTCTTTTGAGAGAAGAATCAGGAAGAATCGATCATTTCAACCAGAGGGCTGTGATAAGATTTTGAAAATTACTTACTTTATCTTTTCTCCAGGTGATACAGGTGGGAAAAACAGGCAACTGATTTGTTTCATGCAAAAATTCTTCCATTTCTCTTTGGTGAACAAGTTTTGTTTGTTTGGGTTTGGTTTTGTTTGTTTGCATTGTGATCAACTTCAGCACTTTCATCAAGTCCATCAACAAGTTCTCGAACATGAATATGAAGTGGAGCTGGAGTCCCCATCAAACAATTACTAGGTTAGGAAAGAGAATAGAGGGCTGGTGAACGTAAGTCAAAAGCAGTGCACAACCGTCTTTAAAATATCCCTACAATCGCTACCATTTCAAGAGATTTCTCTGTGCTCAGCACCGGTATACGTGCTTTACACGGTGCTACTTAATTCTCATCAGCAGCTCTGCAAGGTAGATTGTGTTGTCCCCAGTTTACAGATGGGGAAACAGACACAGAACTTAAGTGACTTTCGAGAAGTCACACATGCTGCTCCCAAAATAAATAAAGATGCTTAATTGTTTTTACTCTCCACGGGCCTTCGCCAGTCACAAACAGAAGCAGATCTTCTGAATTTCTTGCAATTTTAAAATGAAGGAAGATACATCTTCTGTGTAGGTGAAAATGACAAAATGAAGAGCCTTAGCCAACGTCATTTCTTATCAGAGGAGGGAGACGTTTAATTTACTCAGATTAACCCCTACAGGTTCTCTCCACCCTGTTTCCAAGCAACCAAGTCGAAAAACCCTCTACTGGGCTAAAGAGGAACCAATGGAAGCTTCTTTAAAAGTGTTACGGACCTGGGAGGAAATGATTAGGATCGGAAAACAGCATAGCTGCTTTTTGCACATGCATCCAAACTCATTCTCTATGCAGGTGTTCTGTCTGATTCTTCTCCATTCTGTCACCGTAACTGTGAAACTAATATCGCCTCCCAGTACCATATTTACTAAATAATTTAATGAAACGGAACATGACCCTATATCGTGTGCAGAAAACTGAGGGAGGTCCCTAATTAGGTCTGGCATTATGTCACTGCCTCAGTCGAACGCTCAGGCGTCGCACAGTCATAACACCTCGGAGGGCCCCGTGGGGCTGCTGAAAAGCCAGAGAAGCGCACCAGCCTCACCATCCCGGAGGTCCTGTACAGAGCTCAGCTGCAGGCTGACCTAGCAGCCGATCACAAACCACGCAGGCTCCCTTTATCTTCCTTTTGAGTGGCTCACGTCGCCTTGGGACCGGACACCGAGGGTTCCCGCAGACTACTGGTCCCTCTCCTCCTGCCCCGTGCCCTTACTCTGAGTCTGGGAGGAAAGCCGCGCGACTTCCCCGGGAGACCCAGGGCCACAGGCCGGGAGTGGAGGAAGCGGCTGGGAGCTGTCCATGGTGGCTCCGCGCCTGGGCACGCAGAGCCGCCGGCTCCCGCCCCCGGGCGCGCCCGGGATAACGCTCCAGACCGCCGGAATGGAGAGAGAGACTCGCTCCCAGGCTGCAGCCAGGCACTGGCTCACACATCAAAAGGTTAGTTTAAAAAGGGAGTTCTCACCTGTGGGCAGCGTTGGCTGCATGAAGCAGGACTCAGGACCTCAGATCCGGCTCCTGGCGGCGCGCCGGGGACGGCAGTAGTGTTGGACCCTTGGGGAACGGCGGCCGTCTCTGAGAACGCGGTCAGCGAGTCTGCGGCGGAGGACCTCGGCGCACTGAGCTCCTTTCTCAAGAGCACATGCGTCCGGCCGGGTCCATTCCAGAATGTCTCTGGCCCTGGTTCCCAGAGCGGCGAGCTGGACACCTGGCCACGGCCCTGGCCTGCGCTCCACCAGGTCCCTGACTTTCTTCCCAACCTAATATGACCTTTCTTGGAGCTGACGACCCTTGCCAGGGACCGCCGAACCCTCTTGCAGCGATGGCAGGTTGGGGCTCTCAGCCTAAACAGCAGTAGGGGCCCTCGTGTCATCTAATATTCAATTGCCTCCACCCGTCGCGTGCCAGAGCGATGCTGGGTGCCTAGCGCCGTCGGGGAGTGCGCGAGCGTGTAGGCAGCGGGAGGCGGAGGGAAACACCAGAAGGAAGACCGTGCTGAAGGCCGAGCAGCAGGGCGCAGACCTGTTGCCAGATGCATGCCCACTCATGCACAGTGTGAGACGGCTCCTTATGGGCTGGACTCCGCGACCTGACCCTCGGAGCAGTCCCTCCTCGGCAAGACACTGTTTGGGGCGCAAGCCCCCCCGAGACATTCAGAACGGGGGAACTCTAAGGAAAACGGGTATCTGCCCCCGGCTGGATGCGCTCCGGGGACACTGGAGCCCCTGGCACCTGCTGCTTCCAAAGGCTCACACGACCTCAGAGAAATCCCACAGCGGACAGAGACAAGGACGTGTGCCCCTCAACAGACACGTGGACAGACAGACAGAGGCGGACCGCACAGCACTGAGTGGACAAACAGAAGCCAATGACGGGTAACGTTTTCCCTATCACTGGTGGAGGCGCTGAACCCCCAGTCTGCCCTCCCCTCTGAGGCTGGGCAGTACGCGCAGCCCTGGCGCGCCGAGCCCGGCCCTCTTACCTCCCGGTCGGTAGCCAAGACAGTGGCACGCCTCGCGGGCCAGAAGCGCAGCGGCCGGAGCGGTCGGGGGCACACTGACGGGCCCTGCGATCTCCCGGGACGTAGGCAAGCGGAGTGGTAGTTCGTCTGGGAAAGCGGGGCTCAGCCCCTGACCACGCTCAGCTCCTCCGGCCCCGAGCGCCCCGCCGCCGACGCCCGCCGCGCCGCTTGCGCTCGCCAGGCTCAGCCGGGTTGCAACGCGCTGCGCTCGCCCGCGCTCCCCAGCCGCCGGCCAGAGCGGCGGCTTTTATAGCGAGCTGCCGCTTCAGCTGGCCGCGCCGGGCTGACTCCTCCCCGGGGCCCCTGACGCCCGCGCGCCACCGACCCGCCCCCCGCTGAAGCTCCCTCCCTGCCCAAGTGGGGCGGGGGCCCCGCGCCCCGGCCGGACCCGGGCGGGCTCTGGCGGCCGCTCTGGGAGACGCAGACCCGAGCCTGCGGAACCCGGGCGCGCGAAGTCCAGCGGCAGCAGCCGGGTGAGGGCGCTGGAGCCCAGGACTCGGATGGAGCAGCCGCAGTGGGCCGCCCAGAGCCTGTTCTCCGGACTCAGAGGGCTTAGAGTGGCGGGTGCGCAGGGTTAAAACCCCACTCGCGTCCAGGGGTAGGAGAGGCTATGGAGGAGGAAGTCCCGCGTCTGGAGCAGAATCGCGGGGGAGATAAGGTTCAGGGTTATTAAGCCTGAGAATCTTTTTTTAACTTGGGGTGTAATAGGGAAGAACAAATCTGACCCAATATTAGATCTGTTTCTTTTACTTTAACCTGTGTATTCTATTGCTTTTGCTTCGAGTTAACATTGTTGCCTGTAGCCTGAAATATACAGGATAGCCCGTGATAAACCTCTGACCTTTAAGAGTATGACACTTTTTCATGCATAAAGAGATACAAAGTTGCAGAACAGAGAATAACAGTCGTCTTGTTGGAGATTTACAGGAACATCGTGACCTGACCTAGGTGGACAGCTGCAGGAGCAAAGGATTCCTACACCAAGAAGTTTGCAATAACCAACCACGCCCCTCCCTCACCTTGCCTTTAAAAATGCTTTGCTGAAACCCTTTGGGGAGTTCTGGGTTTGGGGGGGCACAAGCCACCTGTCTCCTTACATAGCCCTGCAATAAACATTTCTCTGCTCCAAATTCCCACATTTCGGTTGGTTTGGCCTCACTGTGCGTGGGGTACACGAGCTTGCATTTGGTAAGGAGACAGTGGCTGTAGAAAGAGATCCTGGTCTAGGACCTAGCATTCCCTCCGAGAGGAAAAGGCGTGGGGCCTTGGGTTGAAACCAGAGTCAGACACGCCAGGTATGTGACTGCCCACGTGGGTCTTAACCTCCCTGGACATCAGTTTCCTCATCAGGAAAATGCGTTCTCTGATGCTTCCTCACTGACTGGTAGGATTTAAGTGAGGTCACAATAGTACAGGTACCTAGCACACGGCAGGTCTTCAGTAAGTTAGAATCCTTCCCGTACGTGGGAGAGGGCTCTGTACCTCTCTAACTGGACAGACTGAGGTCCTCAAGGGTCAGGGCAAGAAGGCATGACTGCTCTACATATTCCCCTGCCCGGGGAAGCAGTACTAGGGGAACGAGCACATAGCAGGTCCCTGGGGCACGTGGAGTCTCCTCTCAACTCCGCCACTGACTCACTCTGTGACTTGGAGTCCTCTACTCTCCTTCTCTGTTTCTTGTATTCCCTCCCATTTTTTTCGAGCTTACAACTCAGTCCCTCACCTGTTTAGATGGAGCCCTCCTAGGAGATATATTCCTTTCTCCCTTCCAGCCAGTGCCATGTGAGAACTAACCCGGCAGGGACAGTCGTCATTCTAGGCAGCACACGCCGCTTCGTGAATCCATGTCTGGGCGTTGGGGCCATAGTCAGACAGAAGCTGCTGGACTCTGTGTCCATGTTTTCTGCATTGGGACAGAAGCCTTGCTTACCTGGCTAAGCTAGGGAAGCAATGCATTCTCTCTCCGGGCCTTTCTCAGGAAGCTGACCTTGACTGTCACTAGGTCTGTTATCGGGATTCTGTTTCTTGACTTCTTGGGAGGTAATGAGCTGGGTCCTATGGTAGGTTTCCCTCCCCAGCCTTTCCTTTCCAGCAAATTTAGAAGGAACCCACCCAAGTGCCCCACGCTGTACCCTAATTCCTGATTTCTTTCTTAAGAGAACCCCCCAGATTCCAGGACCCACAAGCATGTGGAGGATGCTGAGCTTTCGGTACAGGTGGAGAAGGGTCAGCCTTGAATTAGCCTTGCTTAGAGCAATGAGAGGAATAGGTGGGATTCTCCTCTCTCCCATCAGGAGAGAGTAGATTTGGGGCCTGCAGGGAATGAGGTCTCTGGAGAGAAGCCTGCACCACAGGCGTCTGAGAGATGAAATAGTAAAGAAGGATTCTTGTCTGCTGACGGGCTCTGAGAAGTGCTTAGTCATGTTTTCTCAAAGCACAGAAATGCCCAGCACGTTCCTTGGTGTCCAGCTTTCTTTATCACAGACCAGTGCCCCGGGGAAAATGAGCGATGCTGATGAATTACAAACAGGCTCTGCTTGTCTAAAAACAGATTCTTCAGGCAGAGCTCCATTCAGCACTTCCACTCAGCACTCGGTGATGGACGGGGTATGTGGGTAGTTCTTTTTTTGGATGAATGTTGGCAACGTGAGCCTGGCATAATTACTACCCATACTTTCCTCATGCCGAGGTCTTACTCTTATACATGCAGACACCGGAGCTGGTCAAGAAAGGCCGCATGGGGTTTTCTGGTTTGGGGCAGAATCTCTAGATAGAGAGGAAATAGCCTGTCTTCCTCAGGTGAGCTGCTGCCCCCCTCAACCACATTCTTGTAGTAGAATGGCCTACCTGCTCGCTGCTCCCGTAAGCTGCCCAAGTCTGGTGTTTTCAGTCGGCTGGCAGGATCCAAGTCTGTCACTTAGAGCAAGGGTCACCGCACTCTACGCTCTGGCCGGCAAAGCCAGCCCCCTGCCCCTATAGCAGCCTGCCTGCATGATGTTTAAAAGCTGGCCACAACTGTGGCTTCGTCCTTCAAGCCCCAGACTTGGTTTTCCCAGGCAAACAGCAGGCAAACCTGGGGCAAGGAGGGGCATGGAAAGTTGGGAAGCAGCTGGGGTAAGGAGCGAGTGGCCGTTGGCTTTAAGGCTTCCAGCAGACCCCGCAAAAAAATAAAACCTCGGGGATGCCAATCCTAATAGCAGCTCGCAAATAATGGGCATACTTCAATTCCACCAAGAGGGGTCGCCCTTGGACACCAAGCCTGAAGCTGGCATCCGAAAAGGGAAATTCCCAGCCATGGGCCCTGGGGCCAGATTTCCAAGACTCATAACTGCTCAGTTCCTGTTTTGTTGGATGCCGATGAGGTTGCCCAGCTGAGGAGAGACAAGTCCTCAGTTTTTCTGGTGAGTGGAGGTCTGCACTGGAACTTGGGACAGGAAGTCCTAGAACACTGGCCAGCCACTTAGGAGCTCTGAAAATAGATTTCTACATCTTTCTCTGCCGTGTCCTCATTACCATACAGAAAGAACATTCTTTCCTGTGTTTTTTCTGTCTAAAATACATGTAAACCTGTGTGCCTGTACATGAAGTTTTCATATCACTTTGTTCTTTTTCCTAAATGCAAAAATCATACGTGTTCTTTGCAAAAACAAAAAAAGAACTTCGAAAATTCAGAAAATGAACAAAGGAGAAATCAACTAACTGCAAACATAATGTATGTACATTACAAAAAGCTCAGAAAATATAGAAAATCACAAAGGAAACATATCACTTCTACTCAAGATCATCTCTGTTAACTCATAGTGTATAACCAAGTATTTTTCCATGTATAAATTACATATACAGATGCACAGATATGTACATGTATGTAAGTATTCCATAAGTAGTTCAATGTTTAGCTCAAAATCCTTCTCTTCCACCAGCTCGCACACTTTGGGAGAGCAGGGGTTAGAGTCTCCCAAGTTCACCGCTTTACCTACAGTAGCGCCTATAATGTCCAACAGAGAGTTGGTGTGTAGGAAGCGTTTACATGATAAATAAATGAATACACAGATAGAGCATTTTTTTTGGCTGTGCCGCGTGGTTTGCAGGATCTTAATTTCCCGACCAGGGATTGAACCCGGGCCAGAGCAGTGGAAGAGCCCAGTCCTAACTATTGGACCACCAGGGAATTCCCCAGATGAGGATTTTTAATTAAAATGATATATTCATACATGCAGTTCATGGAAAAAGAGACCCAAATAGTTCATAAACATTTGAAAAGAGGCTCAACTTTGCCCATAAACAAAGAAATGCAAACTAATGTTACACTGAAACCCCTATCAGATTGGCAAAAATCCAAACATTTGCTGATACCACCTTTGTTAGGGGATGGCGTGAGGTTGGAGAACAGAGCCTTGCCTCATACCTTGCTGGTGAAATTTCCATTTGGTACAACCTCTGAGGGCAGTCTGCGAAGACTTTTGAGAATGTACATAATATTTGACTCAGCGGTTCCACTTACAGGAATTTATCCTATAGATAGTGTTGCACCATGTGTGAAATGACATGTGCAGGGTTATTCATTGCAGCCCTATTTGTAACCACAAAAAATTAGAAAAGCCTAAATGCCTATCGGTAGGGCTAACTAACGTATGTTACCTTCACATAATAGAATACTATGCAGCTATTTTTTTTTTAAAGAATAAAGATCAGTTTTATGTATTAAAATGAAAAATCAAAGTGTAAATCAATGTATATACGAAGCTGCCGTTTGTCCAAAAGGGGAAAGGAAAAAGGATATATATTTGCATTTACTTAGAGATGCATAAGAAATCATCTAGAATGCTATACAAGAAACCAATAACATGATTTCCTGTCTGTTGCTGGTGATGGTTTTGGTGGGGCTGTAGGATGATGGAACAGACAGGAATAAGAAATAGACTTTTCCTTGTGTATGTTTTTGTGCTTTTTCATTTTTGAACCAAGTAAATGTGCTACCTAGGAAAAAAGTGAATAAATTTTTAAATGGCAAAAAAATTATGCCATATATAATAATAAGCCTTTTTTCACTTAATCATATACCATAAACATTTCCCCAAGTCTTAAATCTCCTTCAACATTATCTTTAAACTGTTTCCTAATATGGACATAATTTATATAATCAATCCCCTAATACTGGTTTCAGTATTCTAAATAAGGCTATGATTTTGAACACCTTTGCACTTCTCTCTCGTTATTTCTTCTGGATAAATTTAAGTTTGCATCAGCTTATTTGTTTTATTTTTGGCTGCGTTCGGTCTTCGTTGCTGCACGTGGGCTTTCTCTAGTTGTGGCGAGCAGGGGCTACTCTTTGTTGTGGCGCACAGGCTTCTCATTGCGGTGGCTTCTCATGTTGCGGAGCACGGGCTCTAGGCGCACGGACTTCAGTAGTTGCAGCATGTGGGCTCAGTAGTTATGGCTCGCCGGCTTAGTTTCTCTGCAGCATTTGGGATCTTCCCGGACCAGGGCTTGAACCTGTGTCCCCTGCATTGGCAGGCAGATTCTTAACCACTGGGCCACCAGGGAAGTTCCTGCATCAACTTAAAGCCAACTTACCCTCTAGAAAAGTTAGACCAGTCTCCATTCCAACAATCCACACGTGAGTGGGCCTCTTTCCCTGAATCCTCTTTAATACCTGGTATTCTTTTTTGTTTTTTTTAACCCATTGCCAAAGTAGTAGAAAAATAGTATATTTCATTGTACTTTTAGTTTTCATTGCTTCTAGTTAAACACTTTGATGTGAGCATTTCTAGTTCTTCCTTTGGAAGTTGCCTGCTCCGGAAGAGAATATATCATGGGCCAATCACACCAAGCATTTGTGAGCTTAGTAGATGTTACTGAAGAATTGCTGCAGTGAGGGCTCTAAACTGCCTTGATATTAGACAGTGTCCTGGCAGGTCACAGAAGCATCGCTCGTTTCTCCAAAGATACACAACTGGCCAACAAGCACATGCAGAGATGCTCAACATCACTAATCGTTAGAGAAATACAAATCAAAACCTCAATGAAATATTCCTTCACACCCATTAGGATAGCCACTATAAACACAACAAAACAAAATTAGAAAATCACAAGTGTTAGCGAGGCTGTGGAGAGATTGTACACTATTGGTGAGAATGTAAAATGATGTAAGCACCATGGAAAACAATATGGCATTTGTGAAAAAATTAAAAATAGAACTACGATCTGATCCAGCAATCCCACTTCTGGGTCTATAGCCAAAGGAATTGAAAGCAGGGTACTGAAGAGATATTTGTACACTCATATTGATTGCAGCATTATTCACAATAGCCAGAAGGTCCCAAGCGTCCATCAACTGATGAGGAGATAAACAAAATGTGGTATATCCATACAATAGAATATTATTCAGCCTTAAAAAAGAGACGAGATCCTGACTTGGATGAAACTTGAGGACATTATGCTAAAAGAAATAAGCCAGTCACAAAAAGACAAATACTATATGCCTCCTTTTTGGGCGGGGGGGGGGGGGGCCATACCGCACGGCTTGCAGGATCTTAGTTCCCTGACCAGGGATCGAACCCAGGCCCCCTGCAGTGCAAGCACAGAGTCCTAACCACTGGACCGCCAGGGAAGTCCCTATACGCCTCCTCTTTAATGAAGTACGTAGTCAAATTCATAGCGTAGAAAGTAGAATGGTGGTTGCTAGGGGCTGGGGGGACAGGGAGCCGTCGTTGAACAGAGGTAGAGTTTCCTTTTTGCAAGATGAAGAAGTTCTGGGTATTGGTTGCACAACGGTGTGAATACACTCTGAACACTACTAAACTGTGCACTTTAAAGTGGTTAAGATGGTAAATTTTATCATAATTTTTTAAAAAAAAGAAGCATTACAAAGGAATTATGACTAGGGTTTTCCTTCCAACACGGATGTCAAAACATGATCCTTCTCTACTCAAAACCCTCCAATTTACTTCTCACTCGGAGCAAAATCTGGAGACGTGATGGGCAAGGGCCCATCTGCTGCCACTGCAACCACAGTCACTAGACATCTTGCTTGCTTGACTCTAGACCCCTTCGGCGTCTTGCTGCTTCCCCAACGCATTAAATATATTGTGTTGATACTTGCTGTTTCTTCTGTCTGAAATGATGCCTCTTCAACTATCTGCATGACCCCATCCCTGACTTTATTCAGGTCTCTGCTCAAAACTCACACACTCAGAAAGGTCTTTCCCATCTTTCCTATAGTCTCCATCACCATCACTCTCTAGCCCATCCCCTTACCCTGATTTATCTTCCTTTTATTTTTTTTCTTTTATTTTTTGTTTATTACCTATTGTCCTGATACCGCTGGAGTGTAAATGCCAGTGGATCAGAACTATAGTCGTTTATGGGACCTTCCTTGTGCTGCAGTGGTTAAGAATCCTCCTGCCAATGCAGGGGACACAGGTCCGAGCCCTGGTCCGGGAAGATCCCACATGCCGTGGAGCAGCTAAGCCCGTGCTCCACAACTACTGAGCCTGCGCTCTAGACCCCATAAGCCACAACTACTGAGCCCGCGTGCAGCAGCTGGTGGAGCCCGCGCACCTAGAGCCCGTGCTCCGCAACAAGGGAAGCCACCGCAATGAGAAGCCCGCACGCTCGCCGCAACTAGAGAAAGCCCGTGCGCAGCAACAAAGATCCAGTGCAGCCAAAAATAAATAAAAGAAATAATTTATTTTAAAACAAGACTCAAATGTTGCTGCCATTGGGATACTTCTTCTGCTCTCCCCCATCCTGAGTTCTCATGGAAGCTTGTAGAGAATTCTGTTGTAAAATCACGGCACTGTGTGTGTTTACGGCACTGTGTGTGTTTGCGCCCCTCCCTTCCTCCTCCTCCCCACCTCTGGCTGTGAGCTTTGTGGCACAGAGATGCATCTTACCCATCTCTCTGTCCCCAGCCTGGCACAATGAGAGACTCAGTAGATGCTCAATAGATGCATTAATGGATAAATAACATTTCTCCACTGAGATTTATACTGTACTCTCAAAGAGAAACTCCTGGCATGGGAAATAATAAATACATATGAGCGAAATGGTATTTAAATACTCCATGAAATTCCTAGACAGCCAAGAGGAAGGGTTTTGTTTTGTTTTTATTGCTAATACCCTTAGCCAGAACCTGGACACCTCATGGTTTCAGTGGCAACATAATAAACACATTTGACATTTTTTTGTAATGCCATGAAATGTTCTTTCCAAAAGTATAGAAAGTACAGCAGTGTGGGAATGTATTTGAACTGTATTTGAACTGCCACTAATGTATAAAGTAGAAAACTAATGAGAACTTACCATGTAGCACAGGGAACTCTACTCAGTGCTCTGTGATGACCTAAATGGGAAGGAAATCCAAAAAAGAGGGGATACAGATGTACGTATAGCTGATTCACATTGCTGTACAGAAGAAACTAACACAACATTGTAAAGCAACTATACTCCAATAAAAGTTTTTTTAAAACGTTAAAAAAATAATATTATATAATTGCTCTTAAGCTTGCATTAATAAAATAACACATTTTCTTGAAAAATAAATAAACTGCCACTAAATCAATTGTTCTTGGGCATCTCCCTTTACCTCGATCACCTCTTGTATAAAAAAAGAAGGGGGTGGGGCTTCCCTGGTGGCCTGCCGATGCGGGGGACACGGGTTCGCGCCCCGGTCTGGGAAGATCCCACATGCCGCGGAGCGGCTGCGCCCGTGAGCCATGGCCGCTGAGCCTGCACGTCCGGAGCCTGTGCTCCGCAACGGGAGAGGCCACAACAGTGAGAGGCCCGCGTACCGCAAAAAAAAAAAAAAAAAAAAAAAGAAGGGGCGGTTTTGGTGTACGTGTCATAAAAATGTGACTGCCTTTCCATGTCACCCCTTCTTTACTCAGTACTGCCTCACACCTGGCCCACTTTATGCATTTACGATGCCCTCTTCCCCCGTAGGTGTCAGCGGCTGTCATCTCGGACTAAATCCAATTTTCTGCATGGGGTGCCGAAGGAAGAGGCCTCTACTCTATATCTGAAGCAAAAAGCTGGATTCATCGTTTGCAAGGCAGTGAACACGGCAGGCTGCGGATCTCCTGTGGAGTATTTGGGAAGTGTGGGGCTGGGGATTAGACGACTCTTCACAGCGGGAGTATTCAGGCATTAAGTGACCTTTAGCGAAGGCAGCTTGGCCACCGGAGCAAGGCTGTTGCTGATTGGCCCTCAGAAGCGTGTGTACTGACCAGAGGAAGCTGTCCTCGGGACTCCTGGTTACTTGTTCCAGTGGCCAAAGAACAGTGAGTCTTTTCTTGAACGGGAGGATAGGAACTGTTCTCGGTAGGATCCCTTTTTTATTTAAATGTCAAATAATCCAGCTCAGAGATTTTCAAACTTTACCATGAATCAAATCCGATCACCCAGAGGGCTTGTTAGAGCAGACTGTTGGGCCCCTCTCCTGCAGAGTGTCTGATTAGGTAGGTCTGGGATGGGAGCCAAGAATCTGCACTTCTAATGAGTTCCCAGGTGATGCTGATGCTCTGGTCCAGGGACCACACTTTGAGAACCACTGGTCCAGTATCATCGGAGTTGTAGTTAATTATTTGCTGTTAAGAAAATATTTAGGGGCTTCCCTGGTGGCGCAGTGGTTGAGAATCTGCCTGCCAATGCAGGGGACACGAGTTTGAGCCCCCGTCTGGGAAGATCCCACATGCCGCGGAGCAACTAGGCCTGTGAGCCACAACTACTGAGCCTGCGCGTCTGGAGCCCGTGCTCCGCAACAAGAGAGGCCGTGAGTGTGAGAGGCCCGCGCACCACGATGAAGAGTGGCCCCTGCTCGCCACAACTAGAGAAAGCCCTCGCACAGAAACGAAGACCCAACACAGCCAAAAATAAATAAATAAATAAAAATTAAAAAAAAAAAAGAAAAAATATTTAGGGAATTCCCTGATGATCCAGTGGTTAGGTCTCCATGCTTCCAATGCTGGGGTCCTGGGTTCAATCTCTGGTCGGGGAAGTAAGATCCCGCAAGTTGTGCAGCGTGGCCAAAAAAAAAGAAAAAGAAATATATATATATATATATATATATATATATATATATATATATATATTTAACACAATAAGTTACTGATGAGTCTAAGAATTCTGTAAATGATTTTGTAAAATGGTTATTAATCACAGCCACATCTATATACATTTGAAAAATAATGGTAAATACATAGGAGAAAGATAATACTCCTTCTAAAGTTAATGACTAGAAAATATGAATTCCAGGACATATTGTAGCAATTCTGTCCTGTCCTTCCCCTCCTCTTCCTTTCCCAACTTCCGCCTCAGAATGTGTGACCCATCCCGTCCTGGGGAATCCTAGACCAGGTACTTCCCAAGGATCCTCCCAGGTTTGTGATCCTATGTTTGTGGCAGATCGTGGTTTAACACATGAATTTCTGGTCAAGGTATGAGCCATGTTAGTAAAGTGATGTAAATTGAAAATACAGGAGGCAAGGAAGTTTACAAGACAATTGGGAGAGGAAGAGAGAGAGAGGAAGAAGAAGAAAGAAAGAGAGAGAGAGGCTGGCTGACTTTAGAAATTCTCCTTCATATCACCAAGGAAAACTGTCCATCTTTGTATCAGTGTAAGTGCTGGGTGATATCAGATTGTTGTGGTTCGTTGAAGATAAACCATGTTGCAGGCAGGACACACACTGTCCTCAGAAGGAAAGTTTGGCACGCCCCTGCGTTTCTACTGTGACAATCTGAGGTAGGGCCATTGCATGTAAATGTATGGAAGAGAAATTGAAACACTTTGTGCTTCTGAAGAAAATTTTTACAAGGAAAATTCTGATTAAACAAAAAAACCCCAAGGGATACTAGGACACACAAAAGCCATGGCTCTGCGTGATACAGTGCCGGGAGTGAATGCTGCCATTTTCCCATGTCTTGCCAAGAAGCTTTTACTAATGGGTTCATTGGAAAATCCTTTCAGTAGAGACTACAATGTTCTGTTTCTACAAGTGCTAATAGCTAGTATTTTTATTGAGAGCTCAGTATGTTCTAGGCTCATACAATCCTCACCTAAGTATTATGAGGTAAGTACTAAGTCACCCTTATTTTACAGGTGAGGAAACTGAGACACAGAGAGGTCACATTGCGTCCCTGTGACACACAGGGAGTAGCCAGTGGAGCTGAGATTCAAGCGCAGGCAGAGGGACTCCCCAGATGCATGTTGAACTGCTAGGTCATAATCCTCTCAAAAGCCTAAAGATTCGACCCCCTTAATCACTTTCTCGGCTTGTTTGTTGTTTCCTTTAGAACACATTATGATTTGATTTTTTCATCTGTTCACCTGTTATTGTCTGTTTCTCCTCCTAGCATATAAGCTGCAAGAGGATAGGGGCTTTGTTCACTGCTGCATCCCCAGAATCAAGTGTTTGGGCTCATAAACATTTGTGGAAGGAAGGAAGGAAGGAAGAGAGGGAGGGAGGGAGTGAATTCTGAGTATCAGTCAGCTTGATAGATGAGGTCTGATTTAAAAAATGCCTGTTATATTTTGTTTTTTTCTATCGACTGCTAATTGTGCACCGAGCGGTCTTGTTTTTAAAGAAAAACCCACCTGTGTCTTGCGCTGAAAAGAACAGAGGTCATCTTTAAGGTGACAGCAGGCAGTGCAGAGGGCAAAGCACTGCCCAGCTACATCCATCTGCCCTTTTTTTTTTTTCTTTAATAGTTATTTATTTTTATTTTTTTGGCTGTGTTGGGTCTTCATTGCTGTGTACGGGCTTTCTTCATTGTGGTGCGCAGGTTCCTCGTTGTGGTGGCTTCTCTTGTTGCAGAGCACGGGCTCTAGGCACACGGGCTTCAGTAGTTGCAGCACGCAGGCTCAGTAGTTGTGTCTCATGGGCTCTAGAGCGCAGGCTCCATAGTTGTGGCACACGGGCTTTGTTGCTCCACGGCGTGTGGGATCTTCCCGGACCAGGGCTCGAACCCGTATCCCCTGCACTGGCAGGCGGGTTCTTAACCACTGCGCCACCAGGGAAGTCCCATCTGCCCTTTATGTACATCTTCCCCTAGGTTACACTGAGACCCTGAAGGTACTGGCATGGCTCCGTATTGGAAGTCCCAAGCTTCCTTCTAGTATGTCACCTGGGTCATCTCTGGTGCGTGGGATTAGTAAAGTAGGAAAGAGGAGGCCTCTCATCTTTTTACTTTAAATATTCCTGTATTGTTTGAATTCCACCGCCCCCGCCCACCATGAGCATGTGTTATTTCTGAAATGAAACACAAGCAGTAAACAATATAAAAAGAAGAATTTGTAAGGCAGGGATTGGCAAACTATAGCCCATGAGCCAAATCTGGCCCACCACCTGTTTTGTTTTTTTTTAAATTAAATTTAATTTTTTTAACATCTTGATTGGAGTAGAATTGCTTTACAATGTGGTGTTAGTTTCTGCTGTACAACAAAGTGAATCAGCCATATGCATACATATGTCCCCATGTCTCCTCCCTCTTGCGTCTCCCTCCCACCCTCCCTATCCCACCCCTCTAGGTGGACACAAAGCACCGAGCTGATCTCCCTGTGCTATGCGGCTGCTCCACCACCTGTTTTATGAATCAGGTTTTCTTGGAACACAGGCACCTCCCTTCCTTTACATACGATCTATGGTTGCTTTAGTACAACAGTGGCAGAGTTTGAGTATGGAGACCAGATGGTCCACAAAACCAAAAATATTTACTCTCTGACATTCTATAGAAAACATGTTCTGACCCTTGATCTAAAATAATTTATTTTAAATTCCTTATAGGTTCCCCCCCCCACGACCCCCAGAAACGAGACCTAGTGAAAGCAATGAACAGAACTGGGTTCTTTCTGCCTACTAGGAAGGTAATCACCGGCTATATCTTGTTAATTTATTCAACGGCTATGTTCTCTGCATATACAAAGAATATAAGATAACTGCTCAGCTAAAAAAACAAACAAACCTTTCTTAGCATTTCTAGAAATACAAACATCTGTCGGGATATCTGCAAGACTCAGGAACAACTACACTGATCACCCTACTTGACTTTCCCTCAGAGCATCTGGTAACACTTGGCGTATTACACGTTTATCTGATTATTGCCTGTTGTCCCACTGCCACCAGAATGTAAGTTTTACTACATTAGGGATATAGTAAGCATGATTTATGTAAAAGGAGCTTGATACTGAGGCAATCTAGATATTTGGTGTTATTGGAATTGATGGTGTTTATCGATTGCTTCTTGTGGTTTTGCAAAAAAGTTTAATGTATTTTGAGTCTACTTATTAAAGTAATAATGAAGCAAAAACCCGTTAGGGTTTCCCCGAGTAAAACTGAGAATATCCGTTCCGCAAAACATGTCACGAAGAAAATAAAAAGGCGAGGAACAAACTGGGAGAATATATTTGCAGCACGTGAAAATAAAAGATTAGTTTGAATATCAAGAATATATAGGGCTTCCCTGGTGGCGCAGTGGTTGAGAGTCCACCTGCCGATGCAGGGGACGTGGGTTCGTGCCCCGGACTGGGAAGATCCCACATGCCGTGGAGCGGCTGGGCCCGTGAGCCATGGCCGCTGAGCCTGCGCGTCCGGAGCCTGTGCTCCGCAAAGGGAGAGGCCACAACAGTAAGAGGCCCGCGTACCGCAAAAAAAAAAAAAAAAAAAAAAAGAATATATAATCACCTGAAAAAGAGAGTACTCTATCAGAAAAGTGGGCCAGAGTCATGCATAGACATTTCACATGAAAGGACATACAAATGGCCCGTGTGTTTTTGAAAAGTTGCTCATTCCCATGCATAATCGGGGATGTAATATTTCACGTACACTGTTTAGGCAAAAATTCACAAAGTCAGACGATGTCAAGTGTGAATGACTAGGGACTTCCCTGGAGGTCCAGTGGTTAAGACTCCACACTTCCACTGCAGGAGGCGCGGGTTTGACACCTGGTTGAGGAACTAAGATCCTGCATGCCATGCGGCACAGCTGAAAAAAAAATGTGAATGACTAGAACTTCCATCCAATGTTGATGGGAGGGAAGTCAGTGTCTTACTTTGGAAATGACTTGGCATTACCGAGTGAAGCTGAACAGACACATCCCCTACTCAAAATGGGGCCGTGCAAGCAGCATCGCTTGGGAGCCTCTTAGAAATGCGGAATTTGGGGCCCCATCCTGGACCTACTGAGTCGAGATCTGCATTTAGATGCCCACTGGAGGCTCCTGGGGAGCTTTTAAAAGTCCAGATGCCCAGGTGGCACCCAGACCAGCTAAATTGTAATCTCTGAGGGTGGGACCCAGGCATCAGCATTTAAAAAAGCTTCTCAGTAATTTCAACATGTAACTAGGGTTAAGAAGCAGCAACCAGATGTCTCTCATGTCATGAGAAATACAAAAATATCTTTAATAGGGCTTCCCTGGTGGCGCAGTGGTTGAGAGTCCGCCTGCCGATGCAGGGGACATGGGTTCGTGCCCCGGTCAGGGAAGATCCCACATGCCGCGGAGCGGGCTCGCTGAGCCTATGCTCTGCAATGGGAGAGGCCACAACAATGAGAAGCCCACATACTGCAAAAAATATATATATATATATCTTTAATAGCTAAAATCTGGGCGATAACCAGTATGTCTACCAGTGGTAGATCACACACACATTCTTACTATAAAGAAAAGCAA